TTAAAAACTTAAAAAAACCTTAATTTGAAGGGATAGTATAATTCACTATATATGCTATCAAAGGAGTTTTTTAAGAGCTGGGAAAAAATTATTAATCAAACTTTATGTTAACTATTGCAAAGTGTAATTGAAATTATGCCTCTTATAAAAACTTCATTACTATATCTGCATTCCAGATTGATTTAGTCTTTTGGTGATGGCATAGTTTTGAAATTTAAGAGGCATTTTCCAGAGTAGTTTCCTCATGCATTACAAAAACTGATGATCTGTTCCTGTTTGGGCTGGTATAAATACCTCTGTGTAGACATTTCTACCCATATATAAATTCATGTAACTATTCACAATACCAACCAAGTGGTTTTGTTTTTTCCTTCAGTCATGCTTCTGATGTGTTATTGTTGGTACCTTTCAAACACACCTTTATTAATCATGTTGCAGAGGTACATATGCAGCTTATATAAACTTAAGCTCTATCAGTATGACAAAATTTCAAAAACAGGTACTTCTCTGAAAACCTTTTCTTTACTTCATTTTTCAGAGATTTGTTGTCTTGATATGGTTATGAGCTACAGCATAAGAATGGTCTCCAGTACTCTATCCACGCTTTTCATTATCCAGCTTTATTAACAAATAAATAACACAGTAGCTTTTGTTATGATGTAGCAATGGTTTGCTTGTTGTTATGTTGGGGTGGTTTTGCAAGGGCAACATACCTGCCCTCAGGTATATTCTCCTGTCACTTTAAATATACCTGACATTTAACTTGACTTTTATCCTGCTCTTTTCAGTTTGCCTCTTGCTCCCATTGGGGTATCCCATGTCTTCACAGAGCTCACGTGGAGATCCTTGTCACAACATGTTGTGAATGTTAAATGTTTATAGAATTCAAAAACTGACTGCAGAAATTAGTTTTTCAAGTCCCTTTTAAAGAGATCAGGTAGAGTCTTTTAAATCTTGTGCTAATAAAACACACCCTGGATACTGGCTGGCACCAGGAATCAGATTTTTTTAAGACAGTTGCCCAGAAATTGCCTTTTAATAACCATATTTTAGTCAAATATTCAGTGGCCATTTATCTCAACGTCAGGGCGACTTCTGTTGTTCCTTTGTGACTTCCTGCATGATTCCCTTCTACTGCTCAGCTGAACTAAGGCAGTAACCATGCCAATAAACACTATTTATATCCTATGAACCAAGGAAATTTACTTGGCTTGCTGTCATGACCCTGTGTGACTGGGCAAGCCAGCTTATTAAGCATCCTGAATTTTGCCTCAGCAATGATTGGCTGCTGGGCATTCAAATAATGAGAGGAGGAGACGGTTCCCAGACTTTTTGAGGAATACAGTAGTCCAAGTACTGTGGTGGAGAGTTAAGTGCATGAAGCTGCTTCCCACTGGTAGCCTCCGTGACTGATTTCTGAGCCTGTACCTGACCCTTTACAGAGAAACGGTGTAAATTATAATAGTACAGAAGAGATGAAGTAAGTAGCTGGAGAGCTGGAGTCAGTAAGTAGCTGAATTGTTTGGACACAATCCTGTGCAATATGTTCTACAATGACTTGCCTGATCAGGGAGGTTGGGCCAGGTGATCCACTGTGGTCCCTTCCAACCTGTGATTGTGTGAATATTGCCCAGTCATTGTGCATCACCCTTGAAGAAAGATGTGCCCCACAAAGAGTGTGATGACACAGAGGCTAGAGGCAAGAAAAGGGAAATGTCTTCTAGCTTAGTAAACATGAGCTGAAAAGAAAGACCAAACAGATTGATCACATTCAAAATAAAGAAGAAAATACTTCAGGAACACAGGATCAAAATCTCATGAGTGACCAACCTCAGTTCCACAGAATGCACTATCATAGTGATGACCTGTAGGAAAAAAGGCAAAAATGCTTCAAACCTGCAGTGTGCCACAGTAAAAGAGAAGAAGAAATCAAAGACATGATGGAGGCTTTCAGGCTGAGTGCTGATAAGGCACTTTTTGGGTGAGAATGCTGACATTGTCTTGACAAATATGCCACAAACACACATATTACAAGAACTCTTAGCAGCCCTTGCCAGCCTAACCCTGGAGTGTGGGAACTCCTTTTGGGCAAAAATCCAGAAAATTATTTAATTTTGATATTTGAACAAGGTACATGAGCCAGGCATCTGAGAAACAAAGACCTTAAGAATACTAATAAGGAAGATTCAGGTCCAAGTTACACATCAAAATAGTGAAAAACCCACAATTTTTTTGCTTTGGAGATATTCAGGAACATAACTATAAGAAGAAGTACTATCACACACCTGTTGTGCAGCATTCTCATTGGTATCATGTAGTGATACATAGATCCTTCCTCAATTTCACTGAAGTGGGGGGACTCCAAAATTACAGTAAAAGCTCCCACTGTTAGTTTTTAAGTATGTAAGCTCCATTTCAACACATTTTTAACATGCTAGTATGCTCCTGCTCCCACTGCCCTCAGTAACAGCAATAGTGATAGCAGTAATAGAATTGTGCCTGCCAGCTTTGTGATGGCCACATGCTTTACGACCAGATATACACTCCCTAAACCCAAAAATATCAGTGATCTTACCCTCCAGACTGGTCCTTGTGGTACACCTTAGGTGGTCTCCCTTTATTTTGGCTTCTCATTTGCCATTGCTGTACCTGATGTTAACCCATACTTGCAGCTGTCCTCTCCATGTCAAGACTTTTCCTCTAAAAGACCCTATTAATGTGTAGACATCCAGACAGATTTGCTTCACTGCAATGCTTTTTCCTGAGGAATCACTTTATCAAACATCTTGGTAGTCTGACATGATCTAGCTTTGATGAATCATAACGTAGCTGAACTCATTTTTCTCTTATCCCTAAGAATTTTCTCAGTCAAATTAAAAGGGCATGGAGTTGCTGATCCTCTCCCTCCCTCTGCCTTCTAAATGTTTAGAATGTTTCCTGTTCTCCAACAGACTCCAATAATAGCACTTCAACCCCAGCTTCACTGATTTATCAGAAGTGTTGTTCAGGACTTGACATGATAGATACCAATTTTTCAGCATTTGGGGTGTGATTTTCTGGGACTTGTCACAGGAAATATTCTAATTTATGCTTCCACTTCACATCAGCTAATATAGTTTTTACATTATCTTGCTTACTTTATGCTCTCTGTAAATACCCTCACCTTAATTTTTTTCTTTTCATTAAAACTGAGGCAATGTATTTATTCAATATTTGGAACAGTCTTCATCTCATCTCTGGCATTTAGCCACCACATATCTTGCTTCTTCGAATCACTTGTATTTCTGTAGTTGAAGAACTCTTTGTTACCTGTTATCCTTTTCCTTGCAACATCTGGTTCAGCTAGATTTTTATCCATTCTTTTTCTCTGATCCTGCAGTTTCCAACCCAGCAACCTGTACTTTTCCTATTTCCTGTAGGTTCATTAATTTTCAGGATCTATCCACTAGCTCCACAATTATTCTTGATCTATTCCAACCTCTTTTATGGGATGTAAGTGCTATACAGGATTTTCCATTTTGGATTTAGAGTAAGTCCATGATTCTTCCAAGCTCAAATGCTAGGAAGTCCATGCAGCCTCACCAATCATTTTTCATAAGGTTTGCCCTCTGATATCCAGGACTGTAGGATATTCTTGTAGAATCATTCTTGGTTCTAAAGAAATTTGCAGCAAATAATGTTAATCATTCATCAAAAGTTATTTTCTCTAATCAAATTATTTTAAAAGGATTTATAATATCCTTATATTTTACTGAAAAGAATTGTAGAACAGCTTCCCTTTAGGCTGTTGAATCTGATCAGTGACTGCTGATAAATAAAAAGTTTATTGGCCATCAGACCCAATGATACATGCTGTGTATGGTCTTTGTCTTGCAGCTGTCTAGGGAATGGAAGTCTTTCCCAACCTTGTTGTTATTTACTCTTGATGAAATCTTCTATTCATAGCCAGCCCCAAAGCCGAGAGTCTTTACCAGATTTTGGGGCATTTGTATCAATCTTATCCACTACCACTTTCAAACAAATTTCTTATTTGTACCATCACCATCTCTGTTTCCTCAATCTATTGCTTCATTGATTTCTATTAAAAATGAGTAATTAATAATACAAATACTACCTCTACCCTATTTTTTCTCCCTTTTTCTGCCTCTTTGGGTTAGAGGATGCGAAGAGAAAAAGTGGATTTGTGTTTGGCCTTAGCTTCTGGCTTATTTATCTTCAAAGACTGCAGGGGTAGTACCTGAGAAAGTTATCTCTTTCCACTTAACCATTTCCTGGGGAAATCTGCCAAAGACTGAAGAACTTAAATACATTTATACATATACATTTAGAGGCTGGAACAGAAGAAAAACAAGAATGTTAAGTAGAGTTGTGCTTTTTGCAAGAGGGAGAACACGATATAAGCAAAGCACTTGGCAGCCTATCAAAAACATTTTCCACAAAAAAATTTATTACGTTCTCTGCTATAGGGAAGCCAGGCAAAAAGAACAGTGGACCCCAAAACAGCACAGTGTCTTTGGTTATTTCTTCTCAGTTGTTGCTAGACTGTGCAGCAGGAAGAAGTCACACAACCCTGCGGCCAGTAGCACTAGAAGCAACAGCTGGCAATTCCTGGGAAGCAGAAGGACAAGAGTCAGAATCTGCAGAAGGAATAAAAACTGAGACATTGAGGTTGAGAAATTAATAGACACCATGTAAGAAAAAGAACAGCCCTGCAGCATCTCTTGACATTTCCTGTCTTAGCCTACACCTACCTTAACCTATGTCTTTGAGATGCCAGTTTTGTAATGTAATTAGTATTTCTGGTTGCTTTTGTATTCTATTTCTGATTTCTATATATAAATACATATTTTTTCAAGGCAAGAAGAAAGCTGAAAGGAAAGTTTGAGACAATTCTGATCTTCACCAGGTGTCAAATTGGCCATGAAGAAATCCAGAAGTGACGCCGAGGCTGAGACACGGGTAGGGCATACAACGAATTAAGCAGCTGACGGCTGCACAAGGAAAGACGCGGTCCGCTCTTCCCCCGAGGGCCGGCACAGGGAGCCGCGGGGAGCGGGGCCAGGTCCGGGTGTGTCCCCGGGCGGCGGGGGCAGCGCCGCTCGCCCCGCCCCGNGGGCTGTACCCGGGCTGTGCCCCGGCTGTACCCGGGCTGTACCCGGGCTCTGCCCCGGCTGTACCCGGGCTGTACCCCGGCTGTACCCGGGCTGTGTCCGGGCTGTACCCGGGCTATGTCCCGGCTGTACCCGGGCTGTGCCCCGGCTATGCCCTGGCTGTACCCCGGCTGTACCCGGGCTATGTCCCGGCTGTACCCGGGCTGTACCCCGGCTGTACCCGGGCTATGTCCCGGCTGTACCCCGGCTGTACCCAGGCTGTACCCCGGCTATGCCCGGGCTGTGTCCGGGCTGTACCCGGGCTGTACCCGGGCTGTGTCCGGGCTGTGCCCCGCAGAGCGGCGGCGCAGGGGGAGCTCTACCCGGGGTATCCAGTGCGCTCCGCCTCTCATCCCCGCTCGCCGAGGTGTTTAAAAATACCGGTTCTTCTTCAGAGCTTTCAGATGCCCTCGGTGGATCCCTGTGCTGGAGGTTTAACATTCGGAGGAATAGCTTGGTACGGGACGCGGATGGGAAATTAATGTGAGAGCCATCATCGTGCTGGCCCGTGGCTGTGCTGGAGGAGGCGGGGGTGGCCGCAGGGCTGGGGACAGGTGTTGGGTTTGTTTCCTTCCTCCCGGTTCTCTTGATTGAATGGCTTGTGTGCACCGCGTACGTCCTGAAATACGAACGCACAGGCAAAAGAAAGGTCAAGTATTTCCTAATTCCAGCGGAATTTGTTAAAGTTTAGAAAATACAGAACTTATTGCTGGGAATTACTCTGTGTAGCCTTGGAAAGGATAAGCAGAGACTTTGCTATGCACTCAAGGATCTTAACAGCTGGATGAAAAATGTATCAGATCTGAATTTATGTCTTAAACTTGGAAGAAAAATTATGTTGGTGTTGAAAATGTGGCCATGGAAGATGCGCTTAAAACGCTTTCAGGTAGTCACTGGAAAAAGAAGAATCTGTATGCCAGCTTTAACCTAGTAATTAGCTGCTCATTAAATTATTTATCGGTGAAACAATTGCTGCCAATACAATGAGGTCATAGTGATACTGCAGGATATCACTTACTATAGCCATTCTACATAGCATATCAGGGCTTGTGGGATTGCTTTTTCATTTTGTTCAGTATGGATATTTTGTAGTAGAATTGTAAACTGTTTCCCCTGGTCTCGAGCACTCGTAGAATCTTACTCAACAAATTAATAATAAAGGTAAGAGATGGGCTGATAAAAGCTGCTGTCTTGTGGCTTGAAATGAGTGCTGTTGCATCTGCTTTAATTAGTTCAGCAGTCTGGACAAGTCAAGCATTTAATCAAAAAAGGGAAAGTAATCACCAACAGCAGGTGTGAGTATCTCTTTTAAGCATCTCAATCCGTCACATTTAATTTTGGGAGGCAATGTAGGATTAACTCAATTTCACTGGCATGAAACAGTTTTTAAAATACACAAAACTGTAGTTGAGAGAGAAATGGCACTGAAGTGAGCATTGCAGTAATTAAAAAATTATAATCTAGCTCTAAAAATCTTCTCAATAACAGCAAAACAGAGGATACCTTTGATACTAAGGTTTGTCCATGGTGAATTTCCACTTAAATTTTCTTCTTCTGTGTGCTTAATGCCACTCTCTGAAATTTGTCACAATTTTTAGTAGTATCCATTACATAATAAAATTGATCACCATAACTAGATCGAAGAAGGTATGGAATTACGTAGTGCTAATATTCAGCAAATGTGATTGTAATCCCAGCTAATTGCTACATCCTACAGCGACCTTTTTCCTCACCAAAAATTATGCCACACTTTTTAACTTTATGATGTCTGAAGATAGATTTTAAAAGAAGTAATGAAGTTAGCAAAGTAAAGTTTCTTTGGTCTAAATGTAGATTTTTTTTTGGTTCAGCTGCAGATTGTATGGAGGTTTTCCAAGGTGGAGAGATGCTGTTTCATTCTATTCTTTCTTTCCCTTTGTCCCTGGACACATTCTGTACCATGGACATATTTCATCATTAATTAGTTCATTCTCTTTTTAATCTCACTCTTTGCTCAAATCCAGACCCTACTATTCATCATTAGACACACCACTTCGCAATCTCATGCATACCTTCCCCACAAAACTATTCATTTTCCCATAGTCTTCCTACAAATTTAATTTAGACCCCACCCATGGCAAACAGAGCATTGTAATACAATTTTGTTTTCTGCAGCTGATGAACAGACAGAAGTTTTTTTTTCTGAGTGCAGCAGAGTGTGGTCTTCAGCAGGCACTTTTTCTTTTTGCTCTCTGAAGGGTGATCTCAATTTCCCTCCTCACGGGCCTTTCTCTGTCCCAAGGAGGCTGGTGTCTCTCTCACTTGTCTGGTGGTGTTTTCTCACCTTCCACTGCAGAAGCAGGGCTCAAACAGATACATTTCCTGACAGATATTTAGTGAGCAAAGCAGAGAGTGTTTTCTGTGACTGTTCCTTTTTGTGCACAGTTTAGGTCTGTGCCAGGCAAAGCACAAGCCAGTCATGTGGAAGTTCTGTCACCTCTCTAATTTATCTGTAGTGCCTATTGCTGCAGTTAATACTGCAAAAACCTCAGTGCCCAAGACTCAGTCAATACTTCACTGGCCAAAACTGCTGAAGAATATTGCCAATAGATGCTAATAACATACTCATACCCTCATTTGACCCCAGCCTCAAGCTAATGCTAATAAGGATGACAAGGTTTCTTCCTACAAGCTTGAGTTTTGGTATGCTAAATATAAGAATTTTAAGTTATAATTAAAGTGCATTAAGGTCCAGACTAGGAGTTTAGTAATATTCATACCAAATCATTGTTAAAGAAGTTGAAGGTATGTCAAAATATTTCTGAGAGTCAAATTATTCTGAGAGTTACTTTCAGTACTGAAAAACTGGAAAGTGAATAGCCTCCATTAACTGTTTCCTGCACTCCAGGAACATTGGTCTTGGAAGAAAATTCAGGCTACAAATATTGACTGCAATGATTCCTCTGCTCTTAATTTAACTGTTATTCTTGTGTATGGCCAGCCTTCAGTCCAAGCCTTGCCACAGAGTGTCAGGGAAGAAGACTGGGCCAGGCACACTGCCTGAGCTGGAGACAGGGCTTCTGAGTCTGGCATTGGGGTTTGGCTGGCAGGTACATTAAAAGCAGATCCAAATAAACTGCATGGGAACGGCTACAAACAGCAGAAAGCAAAGGCTTGAAAAATCTTGGGACACAACATGACTGAAATTGCAAATGGAAGTTAAGAGTGGGAAGCCTTTGCAGCTGTAACTTCTGAAGATATTAAGGTGCTTTGCAAATATTATATAGGCCTCCCAGTATGCTGGTGGCTTATATGCATGTAATTATACTTATTTTGATAGAGCAAAGATTTTTATTGTTGTGGCTAAGGAAAGCCAAACAGCCATGATAAAAACCAATTTGGGCCTGATTTCTTCCCACCTCTGAGCATGTGGAAGTCTTTGAGAATAAGTCCTTGCATGTGCCAGCCTCTTCTCCAGAAAGAGCATTTCTTTGCTGCTGCACGTATCTCTCTTAGGGGTGGAGTTCACAGCTAACAACATGGTTATTTATCAGAGTTTCCAAACTGGACTAAGAAAAAGGGGAGATACAATTGGCTATTTGCCTCTATTTTGAAATGCAAGTGATAAAAGATCAATAAATATGAGTGTTGAAGAGTATTGCATTCATAAATTTCTTCTGGCATGTGTAAGTTTCAATGTCAAAATGTAGTTCATACCAGAAAATGTCCCTACCTATAATGACATCTTCTTTTCTAAATCCACATCAGATTTACTCCAATTACAAACAAGAGCATGCTTGTCCTGAGACATTTTCCAGCAAACTTAGTCAGGGCCATCAAGCTCATTATTCATAATCAGAACTCAGGAGGGTGGGTTGGACCCATAGTTTATCTCCATCCAATATTGTCAGCCCTTACCAGTAGAGGTGCTACCCTGAGGAAAATGTGGAGGCTTGGCTCCTCAGGCACTTTTCAGTGGTTTCAAGAATTCTTGGCTGAGGAGCATTTGCCCCACTGGCTTTGGGAAGGTTTGTGTTCCTATGGCCCTTTAGAGTATGTCTACGTTGCAGCTGCAGTTTCATATCAGTGGATATGAGCACACATACCCAACCCAATTTTAGTCTATCTGTCTTGACCATCATAAAACCATAGAAAAATTCAGGTAGGAAGGCACCTCAGTTGCAATTCTAACCTCCTGCTCAAAGCTGGGTAAACTATGAGGTCAGGCCAGGTTGTTCAGTGCTTTTCCTGCTTGAGTCTTGAAAACCTCCAAAGTTGGAGAGGGCACAAGTTCTTTGGGAATCCGGCTCCAATGTTTGACTGTCCTAATGTTGTGGATTTTTTCCTCCTTATACCCAGTCTGAGACACTTCTTTGTATTTCAGTTTGTCTGCAGTCGTTTTTCTTCCTGCTGTGCACCATTATGAAAAGTCTGGGTCTGTTCTCTCAACAACAGCTCAAAGGAATTGGAATACTGCACTTAGCCCTGCCAAAAGTCATCTCATCTCTGGGCTGAGCAAGCCCTGTTCCCTCAGCCTCTTCTCATGCAGAGAGTACCAGCCCCTAACCTTCTCTGCAGTCCCTTGTTGAATTCACTGTTGTTAATTTATGTATTTCTCTATACTGAGGGCCCAAAACTGAGTGTAATGTTGTGTAAAAAGTGCTGAATAGATAGGTGTAGTTGCTCCTCTGATCTACTAATGATGCTCCTGTTAGGACAGTCCAAGATTCTGTTGCACAGGGCATTAGGGCACACTGCTGGTTCATATCAGCTCATCATCTACCAATAGTCCCAGGTCTTTTCCAGCAGAGCTGCTTTGCAGCCTGGCAGCCCCTTACCTGTGTCATTGCAATGCATTATTCCTTCCTTTGCTCAGGAGTTGGCATCATGTTAAAAACCTTGCTAGAATTAAGGCAAAAGACATCAAATGTTCCTCAAGTCCAGTCTTTTTGCTGTAGCTGGCACCTAGGCTGGTCAGACATGACTTGGCTCTGGTAAATCTATCCTGACTGTTGCCAGTTACCTTTTCCTTCTCTACCCAGAAATGTCTTGCAGGAGGACTTACTCCACCTTTTTGGTCCCAGCATCCCAGGAACCAAAGTGAAGTTGGTTGGTTTATAATTCCCTGAATCTTCATTTCAGCCTTTTTAAAAAACAGGTGGAGCATTTGCCTTTCTTCAGTTTGTCAGATTCCTTAATCTCCATGACTTTTCAGAGATGATAAGGTATGGCAAGGGCATCAGATATTATTTGCAATCTGGTAGATATATTTAATGAATCATTTTAGTTTGCAGGAATGACAGCTGATTTGGGGAGCTGCACATCTGAAATCTAATTTTCCCTCTTGGCCATGTGAGCTGGCTTCACTGAAAGAATTGTCTTCAACTCCACACACTTGGTGAAAAAATGGTTGCTAACAAAGAAACTCTCTGCTTCCATGTGCCCAGTGACCCTCCATGGATTAACACAGAATTGCCAGAGGAAGACAGCAGAGACATGGGCTGGATTGTATTTCATACTAAAAGACTGGAATAACTTTGACTGTTGTTCTGCTAGAGAAATGTCAGCAAACACAGCTTGTTATTATAAATTCATTTTTCTTCTGATTGAAGTTATTTTACTTGGTTTGCAAACATCACTAATCTAGTCTGGCTTTTGAACTATAAACATTTAACTGAGTTACATGACTTGAAAATGGACACAGAACTCAAGTGACTCATTGCAAATAGCTTCTGCTTGTGTTTTGTCTTTCCTGCATTTCCCCTGCTTTTGCTTCCAGCAGTGCCCCCAGAGACTGACTCAGGCAAGCCTGCCTTCCCCTCTCACCTCCTCCTTCCTGCTGAGGGCTGCTGCCTCCAGTCTTCAGTGCAACATCACCATCTCTGCCTTGTCCCGAGGCTGGGCAGTCAGGCCACAGAGGGAGAGAGACTGGCCCTGCTGTGGCCAGGCTGTGCTCTCTCAGGAGCTCCATCCTGCCCAGGCGCAGTGAATGATCCCATGGCATCGCATGGCCCACTGCTGCTCCTGCCAAAGTGAGAACACCAAAAATGGGGACCACAGTTTGATTCACCTGGGTGTCTTTTGTTAGCTAGAGACATGTATTGATGGGTTTTTAAAGTCAGTCTTATATAAGTTTGTGCTATGGGCTGGGTTCCTGGTGTGAATAACCTCTGGCTACAGCTCAGATCTGCCACTGGCTAACAAGGTTAAGTGCCTTGGAGCAGGCTGCAAGCTGGAGGTGAGCGTGCTGGTCTTCACTTTGGGGTATCTGGATCCAAATCCCAGTGAAACAGAAAGGATTTCACTGAGCAGCCACTGCTAGAAAAGTCTCATGTATCATTACCTGATAAACTCTATTACAGCTTTGCTTCAAGGATACAGATTTCTTACCCCAGTAAATATGGACAGCACATTCATTTTCATGATAGCATGCAGAGTGCCTGCTAATCTTGTTTAAAATATTCATTTTTATGTTCAGGCCAGGTAGAGTCAAATTGGCACTTCACACAGGTAAGAATTTAAGGCCTGCAGGATCTTGCCAGTGTGAACAACAGCTATAAATGTTACTGAAGACAAGGCATAATTATCATTGTCACTGACTTACAATTCAGTTTAATAAAAACTTATCTCATGCCTATACCCAATGTGTGTGCATTAGGCTGTACTCCAGCTAACTCTGCGGGTTTTAATTCCTTCTGTTGTCTTGCAGCAATTTTCCTTAGTGGGAGATCAACAGTGTGTAATCTACAGAAAACATTAACAGAAGAAAATCTTTCATTTTGTATTTGTTCTGCCATGATTCTAATGAAAAGCTCTTTTTCCTCCCCTCCCTCCCACTCCCTACAGGACAGTTTGCAAAAAGGAAGAAGACTTCACTTTGGTTCACAGTCGCACTGCTGGTGGTGTCTGTTTTCATACTCACCATAGGTCTGGCAGCTACCACACGAACAGAAAATGTTACCGTGGGAGGCTACTACCCAGGCATTGTTGTAAGTAAAAAACACATTTTGGAATATTAGGTACATCCAAACAAATTATTATCAGCTGTAAATGGGAAGCTCTGATAGATTGAAATAAAAGAAAAAAAGACCATTAGTCCTGTGTCATTTCACAGGAGAGAGATGCTGCTTTGTTTTGATTTTGTTCTAGACAGGGGGGTAAATTATTTTTCTGAAGTGCCCTGAGGGGGAGGCTTTTAGGGGTAGAGGGAGGCCAAGGTTGCAGTGCACTGCACTGTGCTGGGCTCAGGAACCCACTCCATTGGTGGTGGCTGTCTGTGTGACTGGACAGTAGGCATGGGACAGATTTGAACAACCTTTTAGAAGTTTCCTGCTTTGATGGAAGGAAGAGCCATTCTGCTTGTGTCTGTGTGCCAGGAATTCTGCTGTGTCCATGGCAGGGAAAGCCCTGCAAATGGACACGTGGAGGCTTCTCCCTAACATCCTTCCGTGCAGGCTTGCTGCCAGTTCTCTCATACAAGGTCCTGTTTCCAAAACCCTGAGTCTTGTCTTTGCCTTGGGAACAGACTGCTTAAAAGCATTCCTGCACTGGGCACAAGGTTGGAGCTCTGCCTGCTTTGCCCTGTGGTGCCTCTGTGACTTCTGGGGTGGAGTAACCCTGCCAGCCCCTTGCTGGTTCAACCCCCAGGCCTTTTCTGATCTCAGGAGAAGGGATTGCTTTTATCCCAAAGTGTCAACGCTGGAGAAAACAACCAAAAAAACAACAAGCAAAACCAACAAAAAAACCCCCAACAAAACAAAAACAAAAAAATTCCACCAAACAACAACAACAAAAAACTAAACAAAAAACCCAACAAAAACAAGAATGAAAAACAAACAAACAACAAAAAAACCCACCTGGGCTGAGTTTTAAATATGAGGAGTGTGGACAGAAGATAGAGAAGGGCTGAGTCAGCCATGGGGAGGTAGGGGCTGCAAGGTGAAGAAACAAATTCACACTACTTAGGTGTGTGGCTCCACTACTGCCAATGTCCCAAGGTACCATAATTTCTTTCTCTCTGTGGGATGAAATGCCCAGAGAAGAGGGAGATGTATCTTCTAATACTGTGCATACACCATTAATAATTTGTGAGTTAGAATTGTTCCTCCTAAACAATTCCTCTTACATCTTAGTGTTATGTTGAGAACAAGGCTTGCAGGAAGATAATTTTAGGATAATGATCTATAAAGAGTGGTGTTTTAAAAATAGCACAAAAAGCAGTTCCAAAAATATGACCTTAAAAGAATGATATTTCCTTTCATTACCTTAAAATTGATAGATTAATACTGATAAAGGTCTCTTCTTCTTCCAAAATTTGACGTACAATCTTTTGTAAGACCATGTTATTTACATTCATCCCTAGAAAGAAGTTTCATTTATAAACTGCTGTTTTTAACAAGTGCAATAATAAACCTATGTGCACAAAAGAGCATTTAGTTTCTTGTAATAATAACATGTCTACTCACTCATCTGATAAATATCACCTGCTAAAATATTTTTGAGAGTCATTTTTTCATTAATAACCAAACAGAAAAGCAAGACTTTATTAGAATACTTTGAAAACAAAACCTTTTATTAATAATATTTCCTTTTGAAATATTATTGAAACCAAATAATTTTCATAAAATTCAGAATTATTTTTGTGCACATGTGGTGGATTATTTAAGTAACTGAGAAACAGTAATAGGTAATTGCCAATGTAAATGTCATCAAGATATTAAATATCACAATCATTTAACAAGAATTAAAAGTGCTGTGCAAATCTTTCATGGTATCTTGCCAAAAGCCTGGTCAGAGGTGAGTGACAGCACTGTTGTGTTTCTGCCTCATTGCCAGAAGTGGCTGACTCCAGTGCAGCATTGGCAGATGGACTGTCATAGAATCGTGGGATGGTTTGGGATGGCTGGGCCTTTAAAGGTTATCTCAACTCCTCTGCCATGGACAGGGACATCTTCCACTAGACCAGGTTATCAAAGCCCCATCCAACACTTCCAGGAATGGGGTACTCACAAGTTCTGTGGGCAACCTATTCTAGTTCCACCACCTTCACAGTAAGGAATTTCTTCCTAATATCTAATCTAAACCTACCTTCTTTCAGTTTGAAGGCATTGCCTTTTGTCCTATCTCATCATGTTTTCTTGTAGGGCACCTCTAGGAATTGGAAAGCAGTAATTGGGTCTCCTTGGAGCCTTCTCCAGGCTTAACAACCCAAACTGCCTCATCCTGCCCTCATAGGAGAGGTGCTCCAGCCCTCTCGTCATCTTTGCGGTGTATATATATATATATATATATATATACACATTTATATATATCTCCAGGAGGTGGGGTCTCACCAGAACAGAGTAAAGGGGCAGAATCCCCTCTCACCATCACCTCTTTCAGAATGTGCTGAATAGCCCTCGAAAGGTGCTTCTCTTCTCTGCTGACAGTAGAGGGAGCTTAGAAAACCAGTATAGCGCTGATCCCAGACTTTTAGATACCTAAACCAGGGGAGTGAATTTGTCACTACATATTTAACTGCTGGGCTCAGAAAAAAGCAAGAATATGAGGACAGACTGTTTATTTCAATTAAAAATTAGGTCTAGTTCTTGTAGACTTCAGTAGTAAAATAGTAATTTCACAGCTGGTAGACGAGATGAAACCTCCACTGACCATGGGTAAGAAAGTCTGGTCTTAAAAAACATGCAGAATTAACCCTGTCTTGAGGACACCTATGAAGATGAGTAACACTATCCACTGGCATAGATTTACTTGTTTCTAGAGTTATTTACAGAACAGGTCTTCAGGGTTAGATCCATAATACACTTCGGCTTCTGCCAAGTTCCTACAGGTTCAAGAAGGGTTAAGTGCCCTAATTTCCCTGCAAATGTGGTCACATGTAATTTGTTTTGAAAAAAATCTTTTATTCTAAATACATCTAGGTATTACCTGAACTTATGCATCCAAAGTAATTGAACATAAAATATTTCTGTGTGTAGATGAGTTAATATAATGTTATGCTTTGGAAGGTGTCTGCATTTAGTAGATTACTGCTTGAGCATCTGTTTGGACTGCATTTTTGGAATGGTCTGCAAGGACAGAGTTGGAACTGCTTCAGCCTCATTTACTTATTGATATTGTTAATACTTAAATATTTAATGTCACTTCTATGTGACTACTTACTTAATATTTTTGTTCGCTATTTTTATACTCTTTCAACAGGGTCCAGTTGTCTCAGCACCATGCTGACATGGACTCCCAGAGCTCCTAAAGAGCCTGTTGTCTAAGCAGACAAAAAACTAACTCATATGACCTTAAAACAATCTCAGTAATGCTGTGGCTTTCATCATGATCTCTATGGTTCTATTCCTTCGCATTTAATTGCTATTGTTTTGGTTTTGGTCATTCTTTTTATTCACATGGATATTACTCATTTTGTGTTCCTCCATCAGCCATAAATGAGGCTTTATGGATTGCTCCTGTTGGAATGAAAAATGGGGCTTGGAACCAGATGTAATTTTGATGTAGTTATCTTAATTTACAAAGTTGCTGTCCCCTGAACAGAGTGTCCTTGCTCACAGTTCCAAGTATCTCTAGTATTTAGCTGTCAGCATGGATGCACTTGCCCACTCTTTCAAAGTCTCTGCTTTTAGTCCTTGTGCCTCCCTTTCACATAAATTTTCCCAAAGCACTCAAGAGCAAATCTCCTTTCCCTACATTCTTGAAAGCAAGTGACGGATTCCTCTTGTGATACTGAGCGAGCAAAGTGCTTGCAGGGGATTTGCTTTCTGCTGTGAGCAGTTGTGCGTAACAGCAAGGAATTTACGGGCATTGCTTAAGCCCTTGGCTGGGACATGTAGTCCTTAAAAACTTAATTTGTGCTTGGAGGAGAGGCTCTGAGCTTGGTTCAGAGGCCTCATTACAGAGAGGGGCTGGAACTGTGAATTCAAGGAGTTTCTACTGCTCCAAACTTTAATGTGCCCATCATAAGGAGGAGGCTTTTCCTGCCACCCCAATGTTGAAACAACACTGGAACATTAAGGCCAGCTTACTGCAGTGTCCCTTCCTCCCCCGTCTCTCCTGTGATGCTTAGCGATGCAGCTGACTGTACTGGTCTTTTTAGCATTTTAGCAAGGATTTTCTCTGGGTTCTGTGGTAGTGTCTACTCATTAAAATCAAACAAGTGTAACTCTAAGGGTTTGAACTTTGGGGAGCACATACATTTTTTTGAGAAAAAATGTCTGCAGTAGCCTAAAGCTTTATAATTTTCAAAAATTATGATGTGTGGACTAAATGTAAGTGGTTTTTTCTCTGACTTTACCTAGCTTTTCCTTACAGTGTGTAAAACTATGCATGACAGTAGTCAGGTTATAGATGCGTGTCTGTACAGACTTCTGTTTACTACACGACATATTTTGCGCTGAACTATCAAAAAGCTGCAGTCCTGGCCATTTCCCATTACATTATATGACTTATGTCCGACAGTAACTTCCACCTTTTCCCTTGACCTACCCCCTTTTATCCCCATCTGTGTGGTGCATTAGCTCAGATATCACTGTATGTATTGGTATGTTGTCCAGATAAGCTGACCTCATGTATTTCTGTTGGTTTTGTTCTTTGCCTTAGCTTGGCTTTGGATCTTTCCTAGGGATTGTTGGCATCTACCTGGTAGAAAACAGAAGACAAATAGTAAGTAACAGCCTTTTAAATTTTTTCCTTTTTTTATATTTTAAATCAGACTGTATCAAATATGAAAAGCAGGGATTTCCAGTTAACTTAAAACTGCTTCATCTGCCTCAAAATGTCAGTCATTTGTTTCACCACTTTTGAGAAGTTTTAGAGAAGCATGAATGGGCCAGTAAGTTCCTTTGTACAAGGCAAAGGAAAATTGTTTCACTGAATTTGCTTTCCTCCTGGTTTAGTGAGTTGAATTGACTGAGGGTAGAATCACTGAAGTGCCAGAGCTTGGCCAGGACCATGTAACTGGGAGAAGCATAGGAAGAGAGCAAAATAGCAGTTTGAGCAGCAACAAACTACATGATCATCTAGCAGATGATCTCATCCTGTGCAGGAAGTTTAAGTCAGGAAAACTTTCCTGAAACTGTATGTGTTAAGTAGAAGAAAAAAATCTAGAGCTCTTGCTATCAGTATTGCCTTGCTGTCAGACAGGATCTGAGATACCATGTGATTTGTTTGCAGATTTAGCTTGGCTTCCCAAATCCTTTGTTTTTATTTATGTGAAGAAGTCATAGAAAGTCCTTGGGGCATCTGGGTAAAGGAAGGTCTAAGGAGGAAGGAATCTGTAGAAATTCTTAACAATTTCCTTCCTCTCTTTGCAAAAAGTAACAGTCTTGGTTGAGTAACAGGATGTCCAATGGGAACTTGACAGGAGACTGATTATAGACAAACATCATGAAATATGACTAATTTCATAATGCAGAGCTTTCACTGGTATAAATCAAGAGTGGTGTTGAGCTCAGAGGAGGAACTAATGGATTTAGCTTTCGTTTTACTGACAAGAAATTACATACAAGTAGTCAAAATATCACACCTTCACAGTATCACTCTTTTTTGGCATTACCTGCAAGTGTCAGTGTAGTGTATTTGCAAGAATTCCCTTGCTTTTAACTTCTGTTTCTAGCTGGGTTTCACAAATAAAAAAGATTTATAAAGCTGTGATATTTGTCTCTGTCTTTTTCTGTACCTCATTCCTTTTTTTGAATATGTTAACCAATTTCAGGCAAATTCAGGAGGGAGGTAGAGACTTCTAAGGTGTGCAGTTCCATGGGTGTGTAGAGGAGAGAATTACAACTTAGTTCCCCCATGGTGGTAAAGGCTGCAATGTCAGTTCACCACTGTTTAAAAGCAGAGAATCCAAATGGGGCATGACCTGTGAGACAAAAATCTGCAGTAGGTCAGGTGTCATTAAATTTTCTACTAATAAAACAGCTTAATTAAGAACTATTGCTCCTGATTTCTGCATCAGAGGCCAGAATGAACAGCAGGTTCCAAGTTGCAGGCTCAGTGCTACACAGATGAAAATAGCTTTATCTTCCACAGATTCATGCTACCTTACTAACAGGCATAACATTCTAGGGTTGTTTGATTTTTCACTTTTCTTCTAATCTGCCTCGTGGTTTTCCATGCTTCTGTCCTTAGGAAAAGTGAAATGTCTGAAAAAGCCATGAGGTGTGTAAGCAGCAGTTAAAGTATGTATTCCTGGATATGTTGTGTCATTTACACAAGGACTGTGGAGACATTAGTGTCCAGTATGCTTGGGATTAGTGCCTGCTTGCATTTCCCAGCATGGAACAAGGGAAACTGCTTCCAGCTTATAACATTTACAGATGATTTGGCTGTTGGGAAGATTGGGGAACAAAGTGAATAACTAGAAAGTTAAATTATGCTTCTTGCCTTAAGAACAACCCACAGTGCGTCTTTTAACACTGTCTTTTCTGAGGCTGAGCTGATGGTTTTTAAAGGTGGAAATGAGATTGAAAGGGTTTACAACAGAAAGCAGTAGTTATTCCCTGGGACATAACTGAGTATATTTGTTTGGGAGAGTTTAGGGCAGCTTTAACAAATATGCAGCCATCAGTAAAGGCTTATATAAGCACAGAAATGTAGCATAAACGTTATATTCCTGTACCTAAAAACTATATGCATTGCATCAGGGCAAAAGGGAGTGGAAAGGAAAAGAAATTGCTTACTCAGTTGATTCTATTTTAACTAGACTACCTTTGAGCAGTTACTGCAGTATAATTTGAATTTAACCCAGTGTAGCTCTGATGATTATCTGCCCCCTGTAATGACTCAATACTTCATTTCTTATTTATTTTTATTTTTAAATTGAAAATGAATGCAAATTCAATTGCACCAGGGAAAAAAAGTCTATTCCAATTTGACCATTCTACTTAAATCTATTTCTCTTTTTGTCTTGAAGTTGCATTTCAGTATTACCCATCCATTTTAAGTCCAGGTTCTTTCATGGCTGATGAAATGCTAAATGCAATATAAAATATATAATGATTAGCAGAACCAGTACAGCAAAACCCCAGCACTCAGTAACTCATCAGTAACTGATGAGCATGGAGTTTGAGAAAGAACAAAGGCACAGTTAGGCAGAGCAGGCAATGGTTTGTTCTTAAAACATGACATTAATAATGTTGCACTTCTTTGACCTCCTTCTTGGCATCTCAGAGCCCGCAGTGGAAGTTCAATGTGCTGACCAAGGTATAACCCTTAATTCAAAGGAACTGCTGCTTGAAGAAGCAGGCTCTGCTTCATTGATTAACATGATTTCACTTCAGCTCTTAGCATTTGTGCTTGGCTCTGATATGCAAAGCTTGGCACCAGTAGAAGAAAATTTCCCTTTGACTAAAGATTTGCACTGGTTTGGGATGTTTCTAATGGACAAACAGAAGGCATTTCAAGCATAATGTGTTGCTGTCCCTTTTTGCCTCTCCTGCACTCTGCAGAGCAGCTATGGGTTGAAGAGCAGTGTACAGCTGTATGATGTTTCATTCCAAAGGCACAGTTAGTCTAGCCAGATGGGTGAAAAACATGATACTGCTTAAGTGAAATGGGTTTGATTGTAAGACATGAAGTGTTCTCACTTGTTTGCTCACTTGCCATCTCCTCACATTGCAGTACAGAGTATTTCCAGTTAGGAAATGAGATGCTGAAATTACATATAGGCTCCTGGCAGCAGAGTTGAGCTGAGAGCAGTGAGTAGTGCTGAGAGAGTGCTCTAACAGGTTTCTCCTCAGAAAATATGTGAAGGTGGCACGAGCTTTCACCCAGAAATGAATCATTCCCTAAATGTGCAATGTTGATATGACACCATGCATGCAGCTTTAGCTAACCCAATGGATACACCGAGCAGTGGCTCACAGTTTCCACTCACACGTCTCTCCAACGCCAGCCTCACCAAGCCATGCTGCTTGCAAGGCTGAAAATGAGCACCCTGAAGCTGTGCTGCTTACCAGAGTGAGGGGGAGGTTCAAGGGCAGCATAATAGCTGCCAGGCTTTTGAATATTTGCAATATCACAGTGCTGCCTGCAAGAGCTCCACTGAGGCAATGGGAGGTACGACAGCAGCCCAGCTGCAGCAGAGAGCGGACAGGAGGGGCATGGGAGGAGGTACAGGAGAAAAAAGGACACAAGGAGGATGGGGAGGGGTCATTGGAGCAGGAGTGACCCTTCGTGAGATAGTGAGTAAGCACAAACCTTGGTACTTGGTATGGAAGCAGTTGTGTGCAGCAGGTCTGACACCCAAAGTCATCCACTGCTGAGTCTTCCTCATGTTTTCTTCATGCTAACAAATATTTGATTTTCTCACTGACATGTTTAGGATATACTCAGATATGAGCCTAGTGCTCAGCCTGGTCCTTGACTTGTTCAGAGAGATGGAGGCAGTGCTTCCAACAAAGCAGAATTTGAAAACATGAGGAAGGTACAAACATGGAGCTCTGCACACAGAAAAGGCAAAGCTATTTATTCAGGCTTCTCAAGGGATGCTAAGTTTAGGTCCCTTAATATACTTGCTTCCCAACCTCTGTCAACAAGAGTTTGATTTCAAATGAAGTGTTGAAAAGATACTATAGCTGAAGTTGGAGAAACAAAGCAATAATTTTCTCTTGTGTTGTCAGCTGATAGACTTCCTTGACAACCCAAGCATCCCTGTTTTGTACTGACATTGTGTGAGGTAGTATTTTAAATCTCTGATCATTTTCTTGACACCACACTTTATATTTGTTTCAGAATAGAGGACTTTTTGAAGCAGTTACATGTGTGAGCCAGCTTTCAGAAGAGCCAAACCTCTTCCACTTTTTTCAAAACCAATATATCTTGTAAATTATGTCCATGAGAAAATTCCCACTGGGCATTTTATGAAAAGGTAATGGTTATTAATATATACAGCTCCCCTCAAAATACTGGTGTATATGTACACCTAATTAGCTCTGTTCGAACACGTTCTGTTTCATTTGCTGTTTGCAAATCAAACATTCTAGAAGAAATTAGCTTTAGTGCAGATTTTGATCAAAGATACTAATTTCTGATTGATTTCATACCACATATTAGGCTAATTAAAGTAGCTTATTTTAATAAAAAAGACCACTAAAATTCTATAGATCCCCTGAGAATATCTTTGATGTTCCTGTGCAAATAAATGGAAGAAACCTTTACTGTTGCAGGGGAAATGCAGAAAATGTAAAGGCAGTTTTTTGAAATTACCAAGGATTATTTCTCTCTTAAGCTCAAGTTTCTGACAAAATTAACAGCACTTGTTTCTTCCAGTATTGGTTTTCTGTATGCTCATAATTCACACAGTTCAGAGAAACACAATTAATGCTGAGGTAAAAGCATTAATAATGGAAGAAATTAGTAATCATCCTTCTCTTGTTTAGCACCTTTAAAATGATTGAAACAGAAAAGACCTACTAATACATTTTCAGGCATGAATGTGTGCTGGGTTTTGTGGTGTGATCTAACTGTACATTTCATAAGCAGACAAGATTTATATCAAGGTAGCCAGAATAGGTTGACATTGACACTTGAATGAGCTTGAGTTGCTCCTTTTTATGTATCTGCATTTTTTTCAATATATAACACCGTCTCATTACCTGTTAAGTGCAAGCAGCTTATTCTTTGAGAATGTCTTCCTGCTCTCATGACTAGCTCTTCAA